TTTGAAATTGTGCTCCAAAGGCTGAACATCAGCAGTGTTCATAGCTCTACAGGTAGAATGAAAATATATCTTTAGATCATGGGCTTCAAACACAAAAGCTACCCTAAGAAAAGTGGAAAAGTGCCCCCTCAATTCCCAGCAACATAAAAGAGCACTATAAACCACAAAAAATATATAATCACAAGCTTGCATTTGTAATCTTGTTGTATGGCATGAGGAACGTCAGAATCTTTCATAATCAATAGAGCTACCAGTGGTGGGATTCAAAATATTTTACCATCAGTTCTGTGGATGTAGCTTGCTTGGCGTGGTATGGCTTGGTGGGCGTGGCAGGTGAAGGATACTGTAAAATCTCCATTCCCTCCCCACCCCACTAACCTGCTTTCCAGCTCCATTCTCCTGTGCAGGGCAACCAAAGAAGACGCAGCCGATCAGCTGGGACTCGGGAGGTAGAGAAGAGATGGGGTTGGTGGGGCCAGTCAGAGGTGATATTTGCCAGTTCTGCAAACTACGCAAAATTTCCGCTACCGGTTCTCCAGAACTGGTCAGAACCTGCTGAATACCACCTCTGCTACCTACTGATTAAAATTATGTCTATCATTGAAAAGATGCAGACGGGGCCAACCTGAAGGAAGTTCTGCAATGAACACAAAATTCTATTTCTGCCCTCTTACCGTAATAGGTTTCTATGAAAAAACACGATGCCTTATGACCAGCCCAACAGAAGTCATATGACCTAACACATTTCCGAGTACGTTTTGGCCATAACAAGGAGCATTGGAAACACCAGATGGCATTTGCTGCAAAAAGAGATTAGGGGGTGGGGAGAAATCATAGAAATTGGGTATGTAAGAATATTAAAAGCCATGAAAACAAAAGACGTTGAAAGGATTGTTAACTACAGATAGTCCTTGACTTATTCATTTAGTGACTGTTCAAAGTTACAATGGCACTGTAAAAAGTGACTTATGACCATTTTTCACACTTATGACTGCTGAAGAATCCCCATGGCCACATGATCAAAATGCAGGTGCTTGGTTCCTGACTCACATTTATGATGTTTGCAATGTCCCTGGATCATGTGATCATCTTTTGCAACCTTCTGACAAGCAAAGTCAATGAGGAAGCCAGATTCACTTAACAACAGAGTTTTTAATTTAAAAATTGTTGTGATTCACTTAACAAAGGTGGCAAGAAAAGTCATAAAATAGGGCAAAACTGAGTTAACAAATTTCTCACTTAGCAACATAAATATGGGGCTCTATTGTGGCCATAACTCAAGGATTACCTGTATGAATAGATCTAAAACAGGAGGTGAAAAGTGTCCAGATGTTCATTTGCATCTACCCCGCATGAAAATATTTATGGAATTGTGACTAAGAAAGCTACCAGCGATTCATTTCAAGGCTGATTCCTTTCTTGAACTCTACCGTACAGGGAATAGAAATAGAAATAATAGAAATAGTAGAAATAATAGAAATAGATGCTGGAAGGGACCTTGGAGGTCTTCTAGTCCAGCCCCCTGCACAAGCAGGAGAACCTATACCATCTTAAACAAGTGACAGTCCAGTCTCTTCTTAAAAATATCCAGCGATGGAGCACTCACAATTTCTGAATGCGAGCTATTCCACTGGTTAATTGTTCTCGCTGTCAGAAAGTTTCTCCTTAATACCAGGTTGCTCCTCTGATTAGTTTCCATCCATTGTTTCTTGTCCTCTGCTCTGGTGCCTTGGAGAATAATTTGACCACCCTCTTCTTTGTGGCAGCCCTTCAAATACTGGAATATTGCTATCATGTCACTCCTAATTTTTCTTTTCTTTAGACTAGTCATATCTAAAAATTTCAGTCGTTCTTCATATGTTTTAGTCTCCAGACCTTTGATCATCTTAGTTGCTCTTCTCTGAACTTCTTCCAAATCTCAACATCTTTGAGTAACCTTGACTTACAACAGTCCATTTAGTGACTGTTCAAAGTTACATTGATGCTGAAAAATGTGACCATTTTTCACACGTATGATTGTTGCAACATCCAGGTTACTAATTTATCAGCTGCAGTGATTCACTTAACAGCTGAGGCACGAAAGGTCATCAAATGTGGCAAAATTCACTTAACAAATGTCTCACTTAGCACCAGAAATGTTGAACTCAGTTGTGGTCATAAGTCCTTTATCTACCTATACTGATTTTTAAAATGCTTTGATTATATTTCAAGACCTGAAATATTTTATCCACCTTTTCTACAGGGGTTGAAGTTTAAAGACTTACCAGTGGATATGATGAAAAGCATGCAGAGTACATAATTCAGTAGTCTGTTCATCATCCCTTGATATTGCTTGTGTTCAAGAGGACTCACAGCTGCAACTTTAATGAATTGAAAATAATAATAATAGTAATAACATCAGACCACAACGGAATGGGATGGCAAAAGAAGCTACCATGATTTTGGGGAAGCTACAGTGATTCAGGGGATCTTCAACTTACCTGACGACTGATTTGTAGTTGGTGCAGGTAATGACCAAGTCACTATACGTTCTGCAAGGGAAAATGCATTGCCACCTCATCTAATTTTCCCACTTAGCAACTTCCGGATTGAATCTGCAGTCAAGTCCTAATACAGCAACCCAGATTTGATTAGAACTAGATGGGCCAAAGGTTGCATATTTTCTTCTTTGATTCTCCCACTTTGGGTATGTTGTGATAGGCACACAATGTGGTATCTCTAAGTAGGCAGTGGTGACTCTAAATACATTGGTCTAGAGAGGTGTGATAACATCAGCACCCAAATGCAAAAGGTTTGGTATTTTTATTAACCAGAATCACTTTTATCAGGAAACAGCGAAAGTCACCTTGGGGCAAAATGGGAGGCAAACAAATTTAATAATAAACAAACAAAACGCAGCAGTAACTAACGTAAATGGACATAATGTGATTTGGGAGGGTGAAATCTGCAGAAGATAATGTCAGCATTTTCCATATGCCTATGGAGATTCTTAGTCATCCAGATCATGGTTGTTGCAAAGTTACTTTTTCAAGAGGCAACTGGACAAAGTGCAGTTGCATCTTGAAAAAGCACCTTTGATACAACATTTTTCATAGTTTGCTTGTATTGTATGTGCAATTTGGGCAGATCTGGTTATTTTACGCCCCCTGGGCCACATCTGGCCCTTTGGCTGGCCTCTGTGGCCTGCACTTAGATTTATATACTGCTTCATAGTGTTTTATAGCCATCTCTAAGCAGTTTACAGAATCAGCATATTGTCTCCAACAATCTAGGTCCTCATTTTACCGAGCTCAGATGGAATGAAGACTGAGTCAACCATGAGCCTGTCAGAATCGAACTCCTGGCAGTCAGCATAGTTAGCCTGCAACACTGAATTCTAACTCCTGTGCCACCATGGCTGTTAGAAGTCATATGTAATTAGAAACCATGAGCTAATATGGCATAAGATGTATTCTTACTATGGTAGTAGCAGCTAATCTAAACTATTTAATTTGCTGCTTTTTATAAAGCAAAAAAATTAATATTAAGCAGTATAAAGTTCAGCCTATTGGTTTGACCCTCCACAACTGTCCCTGTTTCTCAGGTGGGTCTTTGTGAAAATTAATTGTCCCATCCCTGGGCTAAGGGAACCATCTTTAGTTCCCATTCCATGACACTGTCAACCACCCTCTCTCTCTCTGTCTCTGTCTCTTTCGTTTGGGGAAATGTAAGGCACCCATTGTGTTATAGAAAACTTTCCAACCATTTCCTTATTTGTCAAGGAAAAAAATTGCAAGGAATCAAGATGGTCCTTTTTGGGGAAAGATGGGGGTGGAAGCAGTCAAAAGAAACAATAAAACCAGTCTGATTTCCCTAATTACAAGACAAAGCAAAATATATTTTTATTATTCAATTTGTATTTTATTCATATTCATTTCCTTCAAAAACCAAGACATTCATGTGGGAAGGAGAAAAAACAAGCTCAAGTTTATTAGGATGTATTACACTGTTTCTCAAGGATTGGAGAATAACATTTCTTGATCACAGAGTTTGCTCACCACCATACGAATGCCTTTGTCACAAGCAACAACTATTTTGTAAATGAATTGTACTTGCTACATTTTGAGATGGATTACATTCACTTTCTATTCTCTACCCCAACAAATATCAACTCATCATGGCTGTAAAAATCCAATATCCACATCAGAGAAACAACCCACCCATCTAATGAACTCATGTGTGATCCACCAAAGCTTATACCTTCAAGAAACAATTGATCTTTAAGGTGCCCAAACATCTGCATTGTTTTTGGTGACCCTTAAGAGAACTATGAGTCCTATACAGCCTGTCCTGCAAATGTGTTTTTCTTGTCCTCAAGATGCTATAGAAGAGAATCTGCCATTGCAGGTCCAAACCATCTTTGACTTTTTACCTCAGAGCTTTTACCTCAGGGAGGAAAACATCAGTCCCGGTGTAAGATGGAGTGATTTGGTGATGGCTCTGTGTAGCTGTTGTGTATATACGACACTTTGCCTTTCAAAATTGCTCATTATCTCCCAAAAGGAACAATATTAACAAAAGCAACGAAGTTTTTCCAAGGTTATTGTGTAAGGACCATTTTTGTCTGAAAATGACATTTCCCCCCACCCTTCCCTTAATTCTAGGCCTGGTGATTACAGGTAGTCCTCATTTAGTGACTGGCTGGTTTAGTCACAACTATTTCATCATTAGTGATGAAAAAGTAACTTGGCAGCTAATCCACCCTGAGCCTGGAGTGCTGAACATGTCAAGAGCCCTGTTTCCTGGCTTTATTGCTAACCCTCCCTGCTGCTATGTATATTTATTTTGCACAATTGTATTGTTTTTTATTGTTTTAAAATGTTTTTAGTATTTTTACTGTAATATAATTTTTTGAATTGTAAGCTGTCCAGAGTCGTGGATTGAGATGGGTGGCTTAGACATTGGAGGGGGAGGGGGAATCCTCTTATTTATTACCTTTGCAAGTCTATAAAGCAGAGGAAAACTGAAGTCAAATTGTAAAAACAATTACAGTTTCATTTAGCAACTGCTTTATTCAATAACCAACTAGCCTGTTCCAATTGTGATCATTAAACAAGGACTATTTGTAGACCATTGTACAAAACCGTAAAGCACAAAAGCTTATGGGAGTTATATACTGTAAAGCTGCATCCCAAAGGGTCTTCTTTAGCTCATATAAAGAAATAGGAAATCTCCACCTACCACCAAGTCACATTATCCCATATTTGTATAAGTGTTTGGAAGATACATTTCAGTTGTTAGCAGTAGAATTCCTGCCAAGACTGAAGTTAAAGAAACTGCCAAACATTATATTTGTTACAGTAATCTGTCTTGCAGCAAAAGGTATATTTTATATAGGCGTTGCTGAACTGAATAGTATCTACACAGTAAGAGGTGCAACCTTGTCTTATTCTCTTAATGTATCCTCCTGTAAATGAAAAGACAGGTAAAGGATTAGGATTGTCTATATTTATTGTCATTACATAAGTCTCGCATTTTATTCCTAGAATAAGATAGGTTGTTTACTTGGCTTTTCCCAAGGAGCAACTCCTTCCATTCTTTCTTCGTGAATTTCCAAGTCAGTGTTAGAACCACAGAGTTATGTTTTAGAGAACCCTATTCTAGTCATCTCACCCAAATAGAATGGAAAAGGGAACGTATTAAGGAAAGCATATTTGTGGAATCCTTGGTGCTCTCTGAGCTTTTCTAGCTTTCTTGCGGACGTTTCATTACCAAACGAAGTAACATCATCACTGCTCGGATGATGTTACCTAGTTTAGTGATGAAACATCTGGAAAAAAAAAACCATGAAGCTTAGAGAGCACCAAGAACCCCACAATTCAACCCTGAGCTACAAATATCCTTTTCTATTGGTAAAATTTATTTGTTTAGAAGAATGGTTCTGTCAGGGTTGGGATTCTACCGGTTTGGACTGGTTCTATAGAACTGGTTGTTATGATTCTGCAGTTCTGAGAACCAGCAAATCGTGCCCCTGGCTGCCCCCACCCCTCTCCACCCGCCCCTCCCTTCCCCGCCCAATCAGTCCTTATCACACAACATTGCGTGCGTGCCCGACATCACTGACTGTGTTCTTCCCCGCCCAGTCACTCCTTAAGGTATTTCTTCCTTTTCCCCTCCCAACCGTCAGCTGTTCCTATGATCAACTGTGCCAGGATCCCCCTTGCTGCCTTGTTGCCTTACTGCTTTGGCCAGGAGGCTTCCCTGAAGCCCAGGAAGGCAAAAAAATGGAACGGGAGGCACAGCTCCCCTCCAGCCCCTCCATTTTTTGCCTTCCTGGGCCCCAGGGAAGCTTCCTGGGAGTAAAAACATCCCCCCGCAGGAGGCTCCCTTGAGGCCCAAGAGGCCCCCAAATGGAGCACGGGCAGGGGTGGGATTCAATTTTTTTAACAACTGGTTCTGTGGGCGTGGCTTAGGTGGTGGGCGTGGCTTGGTGGTCATGTGACTGGGTGGACATGGCTTGGTGGTCATGTTTTTGGCTGGATGTGGCCAACTCAATATCACTCACATCGAGGCACGCATCTCCTCGCCTGGACTCTCATGACTGTGGGGATGCTGCAACAGTCATAAGCGTGAAAAAAATTTCAGTGCCATTGTAACTTTGAATGGTCACTCCACACAAGCAAAGTACCAGCAAAGGAGGGGAAAAAAAACTCCAGAGAAGTTCCTGAGACAGGAAGTCTAGTCCTGCCAAGAATGTAATAAGGGTTAACGGAGAGGCAGTTTCTGTAAGCAACACCAGAATGTTTCCTTCCTGCCTTCCTTACAGGATTAGGCCAGTAATTTCTTCTAACAACCGGTTCTCCGAACTGCTTAGAATGTTAACAACTGGTTCTAGCGAATAGGTGCGAACTGGTAGAATCCCACCCCTGAGCACAGGGGGATGCGTGCCCCCTCTATGCTACATATTTTTCCTTCCTGAGCCCCTTCTGGGAGCAAAAACATCCCCCCAGGAGGCTCCCCTGAGGCCCAGAAGGCTTAAAAAATGGGGAGAATGCTGCAAAAAAAACCACACCCACCCAGTCACATGGCCATACTCACCTAGCCACGCCAACAGAACTGGTTGTTACAAAATTTGAATCCCACTCCTGGGTTCTGTCCAGTGTCAATTAATTTAACTTGTTCCACCATTGTTTCTCACCTTTGGAGTTTCTTTGAATGAAACAAAACTGTTTTGTAGACACTTTGCAGGTGGATGGTCTGCGACATTTATTGTCCTTTCTAACTGAGGAACATTGATGACATATCAACCCTTCAGCTGTATAATGCAAACAGAAGAAGAAATGAGGCAAAAGAAATATTCAATTCTACATACACAGGCTAAGTAAAATAAGGTCTCTTTGGGTTGAGAGCAACTCTTGATGATTTAATGGAAACATTAACGATGCTGTGATTGTTTTGCACCAATGTAGGTTTTTTTTAATTACAGCCAAGATCATTTTTCAACTTCCTAGTCTAATCTACAATCCTAGGCTTTCTTATATTTTCTATTAAAGTATTAATCAACTCCTTAACCATTTCAAGTATGCTGCCATCTACTTACGAATACACATTTATAATAGGCGATTTTTTGCATTATTTGTCAATTTATCTATCTATTTCTATTTATTCTTTATAAGCATACCTGTTGGAAAGGACAGCAATACCAAGAAGACAAGAATCAAAATCTGAGTCAATGGAAGTTTCATTCTGAAAAAAGTAATTCACGCATCTATTAAACATGTGAAAAATGTTCAAAAACATATGCATATTTTGTTGGTGGGTTGCTTTTTTTATGTAGTTACTGAGCTAATATATATCAATAGGATTCAAGGTTGACTCAGTCTTTCATCCTTCTGGGGTTGGTAAAATAAGGACCTAGATTGTTTGGGGCAATATACAAATAATGCTTACATTTGAAAATGACCAGAGTGTTAAAAGAAAAAGAAGAGAGTAGAGTAGGGTAGGGTAGGGTAGAGTAGAATAGAACACAACAGAACAGCTTTATTTGGCCAAGTGTGATTGATTACACACAAGGAATTTGTCTCCATTGCAGATGCTCTCAATGTGCATACAAAGCAACGGAATAATAATAATCATAATATGATACCAATAAGTATATACTGCTCTATGGGGCAGTATATTAGCTTAAATATTATTGCTATGCTATGCTATTCCTATTCTTCTAAAAAGGCTATTGGGTTTTTAAATTATCAGACCTTTTTCTTGATTCACAATGTATCTACTACAAAGGAGAATACAAATAAAGCAGTAACAATCAACATCTTATGCATGTAAATTTGCATCCAGAAAAGAAAACCAGAAGGGACAGAATAGATCAGGACGGTTTGTGAGGAGCAACAAACTCCTTCCCCAAATTATAAAGCCCAAGAATAAACCATCGTTTTTCAGAAAGTAGAGACGACTTCATTCTTGTAGGTTAGTTGATTCTTCAATGAATTGCAGAATATTTCAGGTACTATTCACAGCCAGAATGCAAATAGTAGGAATTAAGTATCTCTTCTTTCAACAATATAGGCACTTGAGAAGTGTCTCACATCATGTGCCAGATCACATCAGATACCAGTTACCTTTGGAGTATCATGAAGACCAGAAAGAAATGTTCTGAAACAAACACACTAAAATGTTGCTTAAGTGAGTTCAATGAGCAATGATTAACTCAAATATGGAAGTAGATCACGGCTGGACAAAGAAGGTACTTTCTTGGAACCATAGAACACTGTGTAATCAATTGCAATGTAACTAACTATATTCACCTTAACCCCCGAGACATTGAAAGCTGATTTAACTGCACCTATATCTGCTAGCAACAGACAAGCAATTAATGCCAATGCTAACTTGATTTCAGCTTAATCATCGGGCAAGGCAGTCCAGAAATTAAGTGTTGGATGTTGATCTGTAAAATAGTTGACTCCTATCTGAACAGTCTATATTTAGACATGACCATTTCAATGCCTTTTGTAATAATTGGAATAGAGCCTGGGCAAATGTCAAGAAGAAATTCAGAAGTCTAGATCGGATCCATCTCAATTCACAAGATCAATTTTCTGAAAGTTGGCAGTTCAAATTGGGATAGATTTTTATAAAGCTACTGTACAACCAAAATTGGATTTTATGATAGCTCAAGATGACACCTCTGATTTTTTTTTCCTTTCGACATACAAAAATTATATACATCACCACCTGTTTTTACGATCCTGTAATCTCTTAATTTGGGGTAGAGTGGATTTGGGGCAACTGGATGGAACTGAACATTTACTGGCTGGATGCCCTTCCTGACACCATGTGGAATTTGCAGCAGATATTTTACTTTGCACCCTAGGTGAAAATTATCAGCCGCTACTTAGGACTGAACTCTCAACCCTCTGAATGGGAGGTTTGCCAGTAGGCCACCAAACATATTGAAATAGGACCTATTTATACATTTCAGCAATTGTGTAATTGGAGTACACTGATGTATCTAGAAAGCCAAAACCAATCTAGTGATGGAGGTATACAAAGGGCAGGGAAGCCCAAATTCAAAATTTTTCTCAACCACTAGAAACTTATTGGGTTACGTTGATCAGTAACTCTCTCCCTGCCCAGCTAATCTCACAAGGTGGTTCAGGAATGCTATCTATCTTGAGTTTCCAAAAGTGTGACATAAATCTAGTGATCCACTTTCCAAAAATATACACAAGCTGTATGTATGGGCTACAAAACATGTGTGCAGCCATAAATCGTGTTTGTGAATTATTTGAAGAGCCATGCTATCTTCTCAATGCATCACACATAGTTGTTCAGAAAATCTCCAGTACTATTGAAAAATATTTGACAAGGTCACAAAAGGGAAGCAGAAGTCATTTTTGAGGTCCACTATTTTTTGTGGCAGTATAATTGACAAGTATTTTCGTTCAATGCTTTATTTTCTTTTTTTTAAAAATCACATTGCTGGAACATGGGTAAGTAAAACTGATCAGCACCATGATGAGAACAAAGGTTCATATCCTTTGTCTCCATTCTTCTCTGTGTCCACGGAATGGTCCAATCAAGCAGCATTCAGACATGCAATAACAAGAGCCTGAAATGCCTGGAACACCTAACAAACTAAGTGTAACCGGCTGTAGGAAAAACTGCTAATCTTATCCCATTCCTCCAATTTCCACATTTTTGGTGCTCAACAACACAGATGTTTTCATGGGAAGGAAGAGACATCTGGACATAGAAAAATATTTTAACAAATCACATTAATTGCATCCGTAATGTTTTCTTTTCTTTCTTTCAAAGTGAAAAATTCAAACATGAAAAACAGTAATACGTCACTTTTTTTTCAGCAACACTTGACCAAAAAAATAATTTCAAGCTAAGCCAGGTATTCTGATATGGAGTTTGTGCTGGATTTTGCAAATTCAACAGCCCTGCTCCCAAGTATACAAAGCAAGTTGTTGCTTGGTGTTGGTTTTCATTTAATTTCCTTCTCCTCTTTGCAAAACTTCACTTTGTACTCCTGTGTAATACTTTGGAAAAAAGAAGAAAACATTCCCATTTAGAAAAAGGTGGCATGCCAAAACATTTGAATTATCTGTATAAAGTAGAATGCAAGCTAAAAGCCTGCAAAATCTAAGACACTGGAAATTTTTATGAGTTACCCGACGAAAAATACATAATTATGTCCCATCACGATATTAACTTCTCAATTGGTTACTGATCATGTCAGAGCCAAGAGGAATGGGCGCTGAGTGTGTGAAATCAGGGTATGCCTTAGCATAAACTGTCCTATGGCCGAAAACACTGTAGCCAAATTCACTTGTTTTTCAGACAAAAGGCGATCATGTTACTGGAAGCCATAACTTCTGTGGACTGACAACATCATTTAGTTTCTCTTTGATCTTCAGGAAATGCCTTTTGAATTCCAAACCATCACCCTGTGTGGAAAATGAGAAAAAGAAAAAAAGCGTAGCATCAAAGTATTGTTACAGTACAAAATATTGGATTCTGACATATTTAGCATCCTATGAACAAATAATATTACCCCAAAACCTTTTTTAGAGATTAGAAATGAAAGGATGATCAGCTCAAATTCTTACTATGGAGGATAGTACAAACGTGCAGGTTTAACCATTTTAATAGTTGTGGACTTGTAAATCATGTTTGATATGTAATACTATAAACTGCTTAGGATCCTGTAACCAAAGCAGAATACAGATAGTCCTCAAATTACAATAATTGAGGGCAGAATTTCTCTGTTGTTAAGTGAGGTGGTTAAGTGAGTTCTGCTCAATTTTACAATCTTTCTTGTCACAGTTAAGCCAAATCAGTACAGTTCTTAAGTGAATCATGCAGTCATTAAGTGAATACAGCTTCCCCCCACTGCCTTTGGTTGTCAGAAGGAGGCTGGTAAAGTCCCAATTTGCAATTGTGTAATCCCAGGAAGTTGCAACCGTTTGTAAATATATGCTGATTGGCGAAGCACCCAAATTTGGATCACATGACTGTGATTGTACATGTGAGGACTAGATGGAAGTCAGTATCCTTGTAATTTTGGATGACCACTAAACGAATGACTGTTAACTCAAAGACTACCTGTAGAAGCACTGCTATGATTATTATGCCTTGTCTTTGTGAACAAATCTCTTCCGTTTCTTTCTTCTGCCTAAGCTTAGACATCTTACTAAAACGGACTTACCTTTGACAATCGGAAATCCACAAGAATTTTCTCCTCCATTTCCACCAGGCTTGCTTTGAAAATCAGTTTGTTATTTCTTCTGTCCATGGTGGATATGGTGATCTTTCAAGAGAAAGAAGAGTAGATCAGAAGGGAAGAAGTAAAGTTAGTCTTCCGGTGAAATTGCCTTCTGCTGTGGTGAGGCCGATAGAAAGTCTCACAATGTATAATAATTATTATTAGAGTCATGGGTGTTCTTTTCTGAAGCACATGGCAAGCCTTATAAATGGATTTTTCCCAAACTACCCTGTTTCTCCAACAATATGGCCTCCCCCAATAGGAAGTCCCAGCATGTTTTATAGGCATGAAATGAAATTAAGCCCCTCCCCCAAATTAAGGCCTATATTAAAATATGCGAAATGGGGGGGGGGGGAAATGGTGGGGGGGCTTGCCGTTAGGAAGTACTTTTGTTGCACACCCGGATATGGTGCTGCCTGCGTTGACCCTGATACGAAGTGCCCCACCAACGCCGAGGTCAACATCCAAGCCATCGCCGCCCGCCCACCCAAAGATGCAAGGGCGGGGGAAATTAAGTCACCCCCGAAAAGACGGCCTAGCCATTTTTTCGGGGCTCAAAAAAAAATAAGACCAGGCCTTATTATATGAGAAACACGGTATGTTTTTGAATAAATAACAAACTTCCCTGGCTACTATAAATAAACATCCTAAGAGAAATAAAAAGAGGACTGACTTAAAGTCATCTAGCTGGGCTTCTATGCCTAAGGCACAGAGATGGTATTCACCAACTTCTGACCACTGAAGAACCGGTAGCAGAAATTTTGAGTAATTCGGAGAACCGGCCAATACCACCTCTGATTGGCCCAGCCCCCATCTATTTTCTGCCTCCCATTGAGTGCCAGCTGATCGGCTGGGTCTTCTTTGGTTGCCCTGCCCAGGAGAACGGAGCTGGAAAGCAGATTAGTGGGGTGGGGAGGGAATGGAGATTTTGCAGTAACTTTCCCCCAGGAGAGGGGAGGAATGGAAATTTTACAG